TTTAATATAGACAACAATTTTGAATACCTATCGTAATTGTAATATAAAAACCATTGTAGTAATGACTTCTATTTCTCTATATTAAAATATACACTGCCTATGTTAGATACGTATAACGTCCAAAAATTGTTTGGAATTTTCATTTTGCTAGAATCTCGCTAAACGTTACACATAAGTCTTCCAAGAACTGCGGTAGTAAAGAAGATTATGTAGAGTAGCGTGCAGTTTACGACTTTGAACATAATCCGTTTCTTTCAATTTCTTTTATCTGAGCTTTATTAAGATAAACCAAGTATAAATAAATTGCTTCTTCCACAGTTTAAGTCCGTATCATCTTAGTTAAATTAAATTAAATTTAACACGTTATCAATTCATGTATCATTCGTCTTGTTTGAGTAGTCAGAATCCAATGCTATCCGTTCCCCTGGTTTTCACAATCAATTTTCGACTGTCATCTTCTTTATATATAGAAACTAATAGATAGCAATCTCGAAGATGCGAAAGTCAACTAAACGGATATATTCTATTCATGATCCTCGTCTGCTCTCTTACATCCTAATAATTAACCTAAGTATGCATTTCACCGTTTGCTTTAATGGACAAGACTTGATGTAACGATACATATATAATTTTCAACACGAAAGGAAAATTGTTACTAGAATTGAAATAAAGACGAGCGTGGCGCTTAACGAGCATTAGAACTTTCATATATCACTCTTTAGTCTTTTCGGCATACTATAAATACCGTGGAAAAACCCGAAAAGTGTAGAGTGCTGTGTTTAATGTCGTAGTCGATAGTCGAACAAAACAATTAGTTTTCCAGCGCCTTTTCTAAGATGTATAAAGAGCGATATAAAAAATAATATTTCATTTAATCCTTAGGGACGAAATTAGGAATTGTATCATGATTAATGAAAAAAATGTTCTAGGCTATGTCGTAACGCTCTTAACGTTTTCCGTTATTGTAGTTAAGACCCCGCAATGGTGTTTTAAACGTTGACGCAGATTGTTGTTGAATCTGATACGCTAAAGGATGAATTTTAAAGCCATATAACCTAGAAAAACATAATTTTTCTCTTTAAACATTTGCAAACATATAAACCATACTCTATAACTTTAGTGTTTTGTCTTACCTAGGTACAAATTGATTTGTTGTACGTTTTGGTCGATACTCTGGGTGAACCATAAAAAGCATATGTGGAAATCCAGTCCCAAAATATGCTCCATCAGTATGATGATGTCGTGAACTTTTTGGTGTATAAACATCCATACATTTAGGACAATAACTTTTTACCATTGCCTCTCCAGGAACATCGCTCAAGCCTAATGGCAGCATCATCTGGCATTCACAATAAACACGTGGACAATGACCAAAATCACCAGCCTGATATTTCTCAACCATTTGAGCAATGCCTCGATTAGTAAGAATATATCGGGCATGTATCAACCCATATAGCAACTCTGCAGCTTGCTCAACCAGTTCATTTTGATTTGGATGTTCTCCCATTTCATCATCTAAATTAACAGATATACACACTAAAATAATTTTGATATTTATGCCGCCACTAACTAATAATTAATTACCCGGCTCGAGATCAAGTATCATATCTAAAGCTTGTCTATAATGTGGTACTTGCTCATTTAGTCCAGTTAAATTAAATTTATCTTGTATATAATCCTCATCAACCTGTAAGAACCGTAGCATTAATTAATCCATAAATAACATTTTGTAGCAGAAATAAACTTACTACATTACACCAATGCATTCTGTTTCGATAAAAACGAAACGTTTTATCAAACTCTGTAATGCTATTATGAGAATCGCTTCGTAAAATAAACAGTATAAACGTGTTAACCTCGGCTGAATGGGTGGGCTTCCAAAGAGAGCGCAAAATGAACGATGGACTGATACAAGATTTTGAGATGTAACGAGCTTACCTCGCAGAAAAACTCATTGCCCCGGAGGTTGCAGAACCACGAGATCCAGGATACCTCCTCGGAACTGCTCATATTCCTGTAGACGAAGAAAAACCTCTAGAAAAGACCTTTTCTGTTGGACAGTGAATCGTCGCGTTGAAAGAGCGCAGGTCGTAGATCGCAGGTTTCGTCGCAGGTTTCGTGTCGCAGGTCGCAGGTCGCGTGTAGAAAATACGTGATGATACGTGCGCGGAAAAAGTTCGCGAATATAACTACCTGATATACCACATAATAACGCGTACGTATAGAGTATAGACAATGGCGTATAGTTGCGGCGCTTGGTGCACACGCCTGGCATTGGCAATTGGTTAGAAAGGCGCCAACAAGAGTACACTGGAGCACTGTGACGAGAGGAGGGGGAGGGGATAGAGTGAGAGGGAACGGCAAATGGAGTTTTCACTTTACTAGGTGAGATGTCCGACGTTACGGCCCGTGCCACCGAATTCACCTACCACGTTTTCATGGTCATTGCTCTATCATCAATCGATTTTTTAGCACTATTTACAATCTGAAACAGCTAGGAAGCATATTACTCGAGAAAAAGCCTAGCAGAACCAACGAAAACCCCAAAATAAACAGCCATTACAGCTTACCTTTTGGTGCTTTGATTAGCCACGCTTGCTCCTCCCAACGATATAGATAGCGCTGTCGCTGTCGTGGTTCACAGTCTTCGCCACCTTCCGGCTCTTTTTCGCATGCACAATATGTATGTATGATAATGTATGTATGTAATGCATGCATATATGTATGTGGGTACAACGTTAATTTTGTTTAACCCTTTCGATCGAAGAGAATTTCATCATTACAAATTATTCGTAGAGTATAAATGCTCTACGAATTCCAGACAACTATTGATTTCAACGAAACTCGTTACCTAGCTGTTCAAAGAATTTTCAGCAATGACCATTATCCTCTGCGTTGACCAATGAACGATCGATGCACCGTTTTTTAGTTACTAACTTGTATCAGTATTTTATTATTGTCACTTTACATTATTAGCAACACAGGCATCGATACAATTCCACGATTTATTGTTATTTTTGTATGATTTGTATTCAATAATCCAAAAAATTTAACACCGATCCACATGTTTCAATTTCTAGTCACGTGACCCTGCTTCTTAGCAACGTCAAACAAAGCTAGCCTAATCTTGTATGTATGTACAAAAACATACATATGTATTTTATTTTTCTCACGACATGTAATTGCATGCTTCACATTGAGTTGGATTGTGCTCATGAACTTCGATACGAGTGTATGGTGCTGTATTATGTGTTCTACATTGCTTGTTTAGTACGCATGGATTTGAAAAACATGGTTTTCGCGAATCTTACTGTTATGTTTCAAAAACTAACACGAAACAATACAACAGTAGAAGCCTGTGTTAAAAATACGTAACGAAATTTGTAAGACCACAAATACGAAACCAAGATGTGATTACAGCAAATTATGTACAGTTTAGTCATTTCCGAATAAATGGGTAAGGCTAGGTGGAGGACAGAATGTAGAAAACAATTATACATTCATTTCTTATCAGTTTGATTTATCTGAAACTTGGCTGTATGTTACAAAACATTAACATTAACAACGGTATAGATAAACTCAAATTGTTATTTATACGATTGCCTTGTTAATTTGTTGTTAAACCTATCTGTTTTCAGATGCATATGTGGTTTTGGTTTGGAGATGATTTAGGCAGTTTTTTTCTATCAGGGTATAATGTAGTCACAACTTCTGGTTTTATTTGCACTTGCATAGGCTTATCAGCACTTGCAATATTATATGAGGGTATGAAGATTTTACAAATTAAATTACAACAAAATAACATAGCTCGTATTAGAAAGCAGAAAACTATGACATCAGAAAATTGTTCGTTGCTTTCTAGACTGTCTTCAAAGTCCATTAGAATACAATTTCCATCACAGTGGTATGTAATATTCCTCGGACACTTTAATGTATTTATACCAGGATATTTAAAAATCGGGTGGCACATTATATATTATATATATAATATTATATATATTATTATATTATTATATTATATATATACTGTCTCTTATACACATCTAGATGTGTATAAGAGACAGATATTATATATATAATATCTGTCTCTTATACACATCTAGATGTGTATAAGAGACAGATATTATATATATAATATCTGTCTCTTATACACATCTAGATGTGTATAAGAGACAGATATTATATATATAATATCTGTCTCTTATACACATCTAGATGTGTATAAGAGACAGATATTATATATATAATATCTGTCTCTTATACACATCTAGATGTGTATAAGAGACAGATATTATATATATAATATCTGTCTCTTATACACATCTAGATGTGTATAAGAGACAGATATTATATATATAATATCTGTCTCTTATACACATCTAGATGTGTATAAGAGACAGATATTATATATATAATATCTGTCTCTTATACACATCTAGATGTGTATAAGAGACAGATATTATATATATAATATCTGTCTCTTATACACATCTAGATGTGTATAAGAGACAGATATTATATATATAATATCTGTCTCTTATACACATCTAGATGTGTATAAGAGACAGATATTATATATATAATATCTGTCTCTTATACACATCTAGATGTGTATAAGAGACAGATATTATATATATAATATCTGTCTCTTATACACATCTAGATGTGTATAAGAGACAGCTTATATAATGCTTACTAATAGATCAATTTTAGTATTTCAGAGTTATAATATAATATGTGATGCCACCCGATAAAAGAACAAATGTGACCCACTGGGTGTATTACCCTGGTGTGAACTTGTTACACAGAAAAAAGTAATATTACTATGTAATTGTAGAACATAAATATCATATATTATTTTTTTAGTATGTGTTGGTCCATGTGGTGTCTTCAAGTATTTCATTGGTCTATACATACGCTTCTGGGTTATATTTTAATGTTGGCTGTTATGTCTTATAACATATATATTAATGTAGCTATTGTGTTGGGAGGATGCCTCGGGTACTGGATTTTTGGCCCGAACCTCATAGAGCTCAATCTGCAAAAATTTTATGAGAAACAGAAGTTATTAAACTGCGAGGAAGAATGTGCAGGTAACACTTCATATACATTTATCATAAATATCATAGATACCTCATGCTATTTGTAATAATTTATAGACAATATTGTAAATGAGAGAATAGGATCAACTGTTTCCATTGTTGCTGAACAGCTAGTGACTGAAGCTACCGTTGAAGTTCATGTGCCAAGAGATGTATAAATCACAATTAACGCAATAAGAAATAGTGTAATAAGTAGAGATCTACCTCTTGTTAAGATACAAGATATTTTATTTTATACACACGTATTGTAAACAAAAATATATAATGTTACATAAAAAGAAATTGTACAAAAATAAAAAAATATATACAATCTAATACTTTTTAGATACATGTAGCTAACATCATAATGTTATAATTATTTGTATAGTGGAGAAAAAGGTTTTTATTCAAATAAGCGCTTGTGACATGTACTGTTCCCTAACAAATAATGTTCGTAAGGATTTCGTGAAGTAATTTGTATTCCACAGAGCCAGCAGAACTTAGTATTGCAATGAGTGCATTCCATTTTATTGCATCCATCTATTTTCTCAATCATAGTTCGACATTTTGGACATGGCTTAGCACATCTCTGTAAATATTATTATGTTCCATAAAATTTCTAATATTAGTAACCTTGTATATACCTTTAAATATTCATTTGTTAGGTGTTGTTCAACAAGTTTCTCTATTTGCTTTCTACCATATGTCTTTACTAGTAACTGTTTTTTATATTTATCACCACTTTCATATTCTTGAATAAGTTTCTCTTTATTATTTAATCCTATAGGACATAACATTTCACCATGATAACACTAAAACATAAATACATTCAAATAATTATTTTTAGTGTGTACATTAAATTATATAATTACGTACCTGGTAACAGTAGGTACAAAAACAGTAGCCACAATTGTAACAGATAGCTGATTCATTATCTATATCTTTTATAAATGCATATTGAC